ATTGTTTGTTTAGAATTTTATTAGTAATATATGTTTGAACCTGTATGTTGATATGGCCTATAGCCGGGATGGCAAATCTATGGCACAAGTGCCACAGGTGGCACGCGGAGCCATTTGTGCGCACATGCGCATGCTGGCCAGCTGAGTTCAGCCATTTTTAAAGCCATTTTTCGCCCTCCCCAGGCTCCTGTAAAGCCCCTGGAGCCTGGGGAGGGCGAAAAATGGCTTTAAAAATGGCTGAACTCAGCTGGCCAGCATGCGCATGTGCGCACAAATGGCTCCGCGTGCCACCTGTGGCACTTGTGCCATAGATTTGCCATCCCGGCTATAGGCCATATCAACATACAGGTTCAAACATATATTACTAATAAAATTCTAAACAAACAATTTAAATGGGTAAAATACAATAGATATAGGATAAATACAATAATTTAAAACATAAATATGTAAAATAGAATAAAATGACAAAATTATATTTCTGTATCACCCCTGAAATTTACCCCAATCAGGCCCATATTGGCTGATCTCAGTCAGACCATTTTAGTCAGAAATTGTGCTGTATTAAAATGTCGTTTTCAGATTCTGGCCACACATGAGGTATGTTGTTTTAATATGGTCCTCCCACTGGCCCATGCTTTTAATATATACCTAGCTACATCCACAAATTAAGTTGTATCGGTATGTGTAATTTAAACAACCATTGCTAAAGAATAAAATTGTCCCCACAACTATTGTACAACTATTAAATAAAGGACATGTCTACACATTTTCAATTTCTACAGTCTATATAGAGACAAAGGAAGGGGGGGGGGCGGGGGAGAAATGGAACAAATAAAATATAATCTGCATCATGATGACAGGACCGAAAAATATTCAGCATTTAAAAACCTCAATTCATGTTAAGAACCAGATCCCATACTAAGCTCTGAATGCTAACCATGTAAAGTGGCAGGGTTTTGCCCCAAGAAGCCATTCATCAACATTGTGTTGTGAAGGAAAAGAAATGGCATTCCCACAATTGTCTTCAACTCTTACCCTCAATTACAGATTTGGCTGACTCTCTTACAGGCTTGTCACAGTTGGCTAATGGCAGTCTTTAATAATGCTGAGAGCTGCTGACCTTCTTGTGGGCTGCCACAGTTTCCGTGCCAATCCCAAAAGAACATCAATTAAGGAAAAGT